CTCATGGCATCAACTGGTTCTGAAATAGAGGCTCCAGCATCCACTCAGCTATCTCTGAGGAGCCCAAGCTCTATTATCTCCACATGACTAAAGGGCATCTCCCCCAGCATCCCCTGAATCCCCACCCACTTTTCATATAGGGCCTAAGATACCCACGACAACCACTCCCTGCATCCATGCACATCAGCTTCTTAGGCTCTTCTGGATGTTTACCTGGAAGCACTTGCCACCCAATGTCCCAGCAAACTGTAGCACTCTCATCCACTAGGATCCATGCCAAAGAATGTACCATCTCCCCTCTCTATTCCTGAGTTATTAGCTCTTCACTTAATCCCAATCATTCTCACACGTACAAGAATGTGTCCCTTGTCATTCTGCATGGTGTGTGTCCATATGCTTGGCTTCCTGACAACATGGTGAGCACTCTAGGCTTACTGCAGATGCAGCACCTGCTGCTGGCTGCCCAAGGGGTCACTCAACTGTTTGCAGCAAGACTGAAGGATGTCCAACTTACATTTCCACACAAATTCATGTCATCCTCTACAAGTAAAGATGAAAGAGGTCTTAGGGATCACCCAAAGTATTGTGCAAATACGGAAACTAAGGTTGGGGGATTTCCTGATTTATCAAAGGCAATTTAGTCAACATGCAAAAACTCCTGATTCATACAAGTGGCAAGAGATGCCAAAACACAGGATCCTGACCCATAATTTTAATCTAGCTGACAATACAGGACACATACATGACCTACTATAATTCAACATAGTGACCAGATGGCAAAGTAGTATCAGAGATGACTAACAGGCTATTCAGATTAGAAAAAAACAAGGGAGAAGCCATTTAAGGTGCAGCTGGGAAGCTGGGTGGCATTTTGAGGGGCATATAAAGAGCAATTCAGAGAGCATAAACAGAGCAGATACATAGTATATGGTGTGAGAACACCACAACATGTACATGAAATAAAAGTTCACTACCATACAAATAACATAAAAGAGTCGCTGAAGATCAGGCTACATGGTAGATGGCAGCAGAGCAGTGCAGGGGTCAACGCTGGGCAGGAATGGAGTTATCACACTACCACATTCATGATTCCACATGGCCAGCCACAACAGCCTGGCAACAAACAGGGCAAAAAGTCATGCCCTCTTACAGGCAAGGAAAGTTGTGAGAATGATGTGTCCTGACTATAATCACAGAGGTAGATAAGGGCAGAGGTGGAATTCGACCCTTGGTTACCTAATCCTTAAGAGGCATGTTTCCTTATGTATAATCATTATATATCATCACAGTAGGAGGACTAGTCCATGGATGCTCCTTTTGTATTTACTGCATAAGCAAATTGCATCTTTACTAAAATGGACACATTAGACATCATCCTGGAATTTTATAGCCAAACAGTACTGACATCTCAACACCACTGAAGATCCTTTATAGACTTATTAAATAAAGAGTTGATGATAACAAAAACGAATTAATTAAAGAAAGGCACAGAGTAGTGAGATTTATTTCCTCAAATAGATATCAGAGAAAATTCACTCCTAGAATCAACTATCAATAATTCTGCTGAACAAATCAATCCTTTAAAAACTAAAGCATGTTAATTAAGCAAGAGCACTTCAAGAGGCAACACACTGCACTAGGCATGTTTATAGAATAAGAGAAGCACAGAATTAAATGCTTATTTGCTTTTCAAATGACATCAGAGACCTAAAGAGAGAACTCTAACCTAACACTGAAAGCAACCACAATGAACCATCAAAAAAACACAGACACATGGCAAGAGTGCTCAGAGATCAAAATCTCGCTCCAAAATTGAAAAGAAATGCTAATGTACTCCAGGCTCAGAACTGCTGTACTAGAAAGGAAATTAATATCAAAGCTGGAACAGCATCTACTGTTCCACTCAGTAGATGAAAACAATGGTGTTGGCCAAACAGTACAAGAAAATATAGGAATCTGATGGAAGAGAGGAAATGAAGACAAATCCTGCAAAGAATTCAAAATGGAACAAAGTTGTGCAACTTATCCCTGTGGAAATGAAATACTAGAGGGAGAACAAGTTTTGGGTTGAAAAGAATATGACCCCAGCAGCCTCTCAGCTTAAACCTCCATATTCTTCAAACTCTTATTTTAGTCTCCCACACAGTGAGCAACAGGTAAAAACAAAAACAGTGCAAAGTTAAAAATTTGTACAACAGGACAATGTAACTAAATTAACCTATCATTTTTTTAAAGGCAGGATTTTCTGTATAAAAGGTTTGACTCTTCCTTGGGCCAATGATATTTAAGAAAAGTAACGCCGGGCTCGGTGGCTCAGCCTGCAATCCCGCGCCTTTGGGAGGCTGAGGTGAGTGGATTGCCTGAGCCCACAGGTTTGAGACCCGCCTGGGCAACAAGACCTTATCTCTACAATAAATAAAAAAAAATCGGCCGGGCATGGTAGCACATGCCTATAATTCCGGCTACTTGGAAGGCTGAGGCGGAAGGATCGCCGGAGCCCAGCAGGTCGAGGCTGCGGTGGCCGGGAGCGGCCACTGCACTCCAGTCTGGGCGACAGAGTGAGACTCCAACTCAAAAAAAAAATAAAAAAGAAAAATAACAAAGAAATGAGGGCAGACTGTTTTCATTCATTTTATCTCAAGTCAATCTAAAAGTCAAATGACACACACAGCACAAAATAAAATGTTTATACCTGTCCTCAAATTCTATTTTTGCTTTGGCCCCAAATTCAGTCAACTACCAAGCATTTCAGTTATTCTTTCACACGGGTGGGCGTGTCCCTCTCCTTAGCAGTATCAGGAAGACCATCCTTATCCATATCCCAAAAGGCTAGGCTGCCATTTTTTTATTCCTCTTCTCATTTCTAGTACTCCCTTTCTACATAAAAAGTCTTGCTTATTGAATAGATCACAATATTCAACTTATCAAAGGACTTTCAAAATAAAAAGCCGAGCAGTAGCTCATGCCTGTATTCCCAGCACTCAGAGAGGGCAAAGTGGAGAGACTGCTTGAGGCAGCAGTTTGAGACCATCCTGGGCAACAGAGGGAGACCCTGTCTCTATTTTAAAAAAAAAAAAAAAAAAAGCCAGGTGTGGTGGTTCATGTTTGTAGTCCTAGCTATTTAGGTGGTTAAGGCAGGAGAATCATTTGACCCCAGGAGTCTGAGGCTGCAGTGAGCCACAATCACACCAGTGCATTTCAGCCTAGGAGACAGAGTAATATCTGTATCTTTAAAAAATTTTTTTAAAAATCCATAAAAATAAGCCGGGCTCGGTGGCTCAGCCTGTAATCCCGCGCCTTTGGGAGGCTGAGGTAAGTGGATTGCCTGAGCCCGCAGGTTCGAGACCCGCCCGGGCAGTGAGACCTCATCTCTACAATAAATAAAAAAATCAGCCGGGCATGGTAGCGCATGCCTGTAATTCCGGCTACTCGGAAGGCTGAGGTGGAAGGATCACCGGAGCCCAGCAGGTCGAGGCTGCGGTGGCCGGGAGCGGCCACTGCACTCCAGTCTGGGCGACAGGGTGAGACTCCAACTCAAAAAAAAATCAATAAAAATAAAAAGCCAAACTTGTTTTTCTCTTTGTTAAGTCCTCTTTCAGCCCTAACCTGCTGTAATCACTTCTAATAGAGCCTACCTTGGATCTTTCTGGCAAGTCTTCTTTTCAAGCAATGTCTGGTTTATCTGTGTTCTCAATGATAATTCTACCCCTCCTGTAGGGCTATGTGTCCCTCCACTACTACTAGTTGCTTGATTTGCCTGATTATTATCTTCAAATTCTTGGCTCCAAGTATCACAAAATATGCCCTGGTAAATTTAAATAGAAGAGCACTTCACCAGAAGGGTCACTGATAAATTGTAAGATTGGAGAAGCATGTTCTGTCAGGGGTGGAGAGGAGGAGAGATACAGACAAGATCAGGCCACAGGAGCAGTCAGCTTAAGAACTCTGCACACTTGTCCAGCCTTGGTCCTCTACAAAAGCTTCAGAGTAACTAGTTCAAAGGTTAAATTCTCTGCCTTAAGCTTCTAACTGGCCACATGGAGACACAGATTCACATTCCAGCTGCCAGTAAGCAAACAGAGGGACTATCCAGCTCCCTTTGCCTCCTCAGAAGGAGGTGAGCTTGGCTTCCCATGTGTCTTGGGATCCCTCCTCCAAGCCATTATTGTCCACTCTTGTTGTTTATTTCTTGAGAGAACAGACTGTGAAAAGAATAAAGCAACCCTGTTACAAAGATGCTATCATAAGGGGTAGAACTGCCAGTTCAATCAAAGAACTTGTTACCTCATTTTAAGTGGCACAACTGCCTGGCAATTATTCCAGGCAATATGAAAAGGAGGTTGACATCTCAATACTCAGAGACCATGAATATGGACAAGGAGATAGCATCTTGGGAGCTAGAGGGCTGGTTCATGGTAAATAATGTTCATGTCTGTTTTTTTACTATTCACATAGTAATTATTCAATTGTTTTCTTGGACTATGTGTCCACATTTGCCCTTTTTAGATTAAATTTTAGTACCTGAAAGTTAATAATCTGTATATATAATAAGCACATAGAAAATATAATAGCACAGGGTCTCTTTAAACTGCTTAGAACAAAATTCAATGCAATGCTATATACATTCGGATTATTAAAAATCACTAAGCCAGGCGCAGTGGCTCAAGCCTGTAATCCCAGCACTTTCGGAGGTCAAGGTAAGAGAATTGGCTGGGCTCAGGGGCTCGAGACCAGCCTGGGCAACTTAGTGAGACCTCATCTCTACAATAAATCAAAAAACAAGCTGGGCGTGGTAGGGGGTACCTATAGTTGCAGCTACTTGGAAAGTTGAGGCTGAAGGATCACCTGAGCCCAGCAGGTTAAGGCTGCGGTGGCCGTGAGCATGCCACAGCACTCTAGCCTGGGCAACAGAGTAAGACTCCAACTCAAAAAAAAAATCATTCATTGATGCTAAAAACTATGAAGTGCATGAAGAAAAGGGTAAAGAAGAAATAGAATACCAAACACAACTACACAACATTGGCTACGGTTTAAAATGTCAACTAATCTATAGTCAACGAGAAGTTCTAAAGCGTTTTCACATACGGGAGATATAAGCTTGTCGTTCTGAAAAATAAAAAGGAATACTGCACCAGCAAAGCTGTATAGGGCACACTTCCAGCATACACGTGAACTGTTACATTAGTAGAGCCAAAACGAAATAGGAGGACATGGGCCAAAAGCAAGAAGGGAAAAAAGGCAAGTGAAGTCAAAATTCCAAGCGTAGTGGGTCCCAAAATAAAACAGTATGCAGACAGTCCCCAAAAAATAGAATTATAAAGAAAGCCAACAGAGAATGGTATGATTCTACTGAAAACATTAGCAAATGCAGCCAAAACACAGTGATATGAACCAAGATAAAGATGGCATTTTTAAAGAGAAGCAAACTTAACCATTTAAAACTTCCTAAAGTATGGTATTTGTACAGCAAATCTAGTCCACAGTTTATATGAACTCACACTGGTTGCTTTAAACCCTGTTTACATTGCATGTAGAAAGTGAGAATGGAATTTGATACTTATTGATGACCTACTCTATAGCATTTACTGCACATACCTCACTTAATATTCATACTCAACAAACCTATCATATAGAAAGTATTTTGCTCATTTAACTGATAAGCAAACTAAAGTTTGGAGAGATTAAGTTTCTACAGATCATATAAGCAAGTTAGTGACAGTAACTAGCAGTCAAATCAAGATGCACCTGCTTTCAAAGCTTACTTTCTTTCATTCCTATAACGTGTTGTTTCCATGTGTGTGTGTGTGTATCACTTACTTTATTTTCAGTCAAAATAAAGGAAAACATCTACCGCTATACAATTAAAATAATATAAACTCACATGGAAAAAAGGAACTCTTATCCATATCAATCTTACCCTTTTTTTTCTTTCACAAATATTGGGTGAATGTAGAGATCACTGGCTAGCTCTCAACAGATGTTTTATAAAGTTACTAGTTTTTCGAAAACACATTCAATCAAATGTATATGGCTAGCAAAAGATCTGTATTCCCTTCCAAACTAGCTGCAATACTCTACTAAACCAAAGACTTGGAGTCCGCTCCTCCAAATACTGTTTGTTCTTCATAACATTTCCAGTATCTGTTCTTCCCCAAAAATCATTAAATTCCTAGATGATTTTTCCCTTTAAAGAAGGGTAACACAGATGTGCAAAACACTATTATGTTAAAATGTAAAATTCAGCCAAAATTTTCTTGGATATTTCTGATTTTTGAGTACTATAATAAAACACTGCATTATTTCTCAAAAAAAAAAAAAAAGAAGGGTAACAAAATTAAGGATACCTATAAAAAAAGAGTTTTAAACTAAAATATCCATCAAAGTAATAAACTTAGAAAACACATTCTTTGCCAATGACCTACAAATAAGAATCCTAAAGATATGTAAGCTGAGTAGTTTTCTCTGCGTGCAGCACCTCCATGACTTCAAAAACCATTTCCGACATTAATAAAGTCTAAAAAGTAATTATTACTATCATGCTTGCTACCTTTAGAAATCATAGAAATATTCTTTAAAAAAAAGAATATACTTAGGACCTATCATATTCCAGAATGCCATACAGTATAAGCACAAATGACATTCAGAATCATACCTCAAAGATGGAAATATCCTGAAAACACAAAAATGCATTTAGTAGAATTCAATTTGGTTCATTAACTTAAGCAGAAAATTTGGCAAATCCACATGAAATTTTCTTTTTTACTCTCTATATTTTATTTTTAAAATGTGGGGTTCAAGTCAGGATTAGGTACATACGTGGTCTACATGCAGGTGAAACCCGGGCCTCCACTGGTTCTCACTTCCCCTAGTTTAGGATCAGATACCCTTAAGTGATGTTATGTGCTCCCCTCTTCCCCTGGCAGTGTCCTGCTACTGCTGATCCCTCTCTTATAGTATTGTGGTTACTGTTTGGGACCCACTTATGAATGAGAACATGTGGTATTCAGTTATTTGTTTCTGTGATAGATCACTGAGTATGAAAGACACTAAATTTATCCAGTCAAGTAGCTGTGAAGTCCATAATCTTGTCCTTCATTATGGCTGTGTAATATTCCATCATGTATATGTACCATATATTTTTTATCCAGACCATTTTCAATGGCAATATGGTTGGTTCCACGTTTTTACTATTGTGAATAGTGCTGCAATAAACATGTATGCACAGATATGTTTTTGTAGAATGATTTGAGTACTTCCAGGTATGTTCACAGAAGGGGAGTTTCTGCGTCATATGGAAGGTCAATTTCTAGATCTTTTAAAAATCACCACACTGTTTTTCACAAAGGTTATACTAGTTTACACTCCCACCAACAGTAGGGTGGAAGGATAAAGAAAGTCGAATGAGATTCTAACATTTTAGGTTATTGACAATAAACAACTGGTTGAATCAGGAGAGGGCCAAATGGAAAATGACCAGAGACACACCCAACAGACAAGTAGAAATATCAGATTCACCTCAATGGAGTGTGAGGAAAAGTATGAACACAGATATTCTTGGGGTCCATAGTCAGATTGGAAAGGCAGGTTGGGAATAAAGTGATACTGACTTTGAATGTTAGGCAAGGGCTTCTTTGTCTTTAAGGTTGGTGCGTCCCAGCCTTCCTCATGCCATAGCACATTTCACTAGGGTCAGTGGATGACAAGTCCAGTATCTGTCCTACTAAAGGGCTGGTGGGAGGGGAGCAGTTTCATATAGAAGTCATTTGGCACATACAGCGCTCTGCTCTGCCACCGGCACTATCCATGTTCCAACCCCGGGACCTGCTTCCATCTGATCATCTCTGGTCTTGGATGTACAATCCTGAATGTTTAAAGGCATTGAGAGTTCAATTTTGTTGGAGACAGAACTGGAAGGGGGCAGTTCTAGATGGACTTGTATTCATGCAAAAAATGAAGAAATCAAATGAAGTAAAACTGTGGTCATGAGATGGTACATATTTTATTCAGATTTGTGGGGGGGTGGGGTAGAAAGGATAAAGTAGGGTTGTGGCATAGGAGAGGTAAAAATGTCAGATTTTGGTGTGTTGGAGGGTCCGCTGGAGGGTCCTAAATGTAAAACAGGAAAAAGTTCTATTGGCTATCATGGCCAATGAGTCCATTCTGAACAACTTAGTGGAGACTGGTGCAAAGAATGCTGTTTTATCTGCAGCTACACAGTATATACCAGAATAAAAGGAGACTAGGCATAGCCAATGAGCACACAGAAGAGTCTAAAATTAGGAGAAAGGGTTAATTCCACAAAGTCCTTAAAAGAAAGATTTGGCGATGTAAAAGATGTTATAGTCTTTAACAAGCTTGTTTTACTAAGAGGCTTAGAAATAATTTGAATGTTCTTTTTTAAAAAATAAAACAACAGAAGTTAAAAGTGAACAAAGGATATAAATTTAAGTTTAGCTTATCAGAACTAAACGTATCCCATGACATTTCCTTCTACAGTTATTAAAGCGATAACAGAGAAAAATATCCTTAGTCAGAAAACCATCCTGTAATTCCAATTTTCCCAGCAAAACCTAGATATTATGTATCTGGGGATTTATATGGAAACCCTTATCAAGTAAGATACCAGGTCTTAAAACCTAAAGTGAATAAAGACTTTGCTTAAGAAGTCAAAAAAGCAACAGCCTACCAACATTAACTGTCATTATAATGGTAGATAGAAGCCTTCTTAAGCCATCTGCAAACACAGACTTTCATCTAACTTGCTTTAAATGAATTTTTTAAATGCTTGACAAAGCAGACAGGTTTGGCCTTGGGAGACAAATAATTTCACTTAAAAACAGAATTCTTTAACTCTCAGGATTTCTGCAAAAGTTTTTGGCTTTTCAATGTCCGTAACATGGAGATTGAGAATATTTATTCTATATAAACCACAAAGAACTAGATCCAGGTAAATCATCCATTGTTAAAGTAAATAAATCTAACAATAAGCCCCATCTCTCTGCCTGTGACCCCATAAGCACAAACCAAGCACCATCTCATTACAACAGCTCAGACTGTTAAGAGCAAATGGGGTCAGACTGTAATTATACTTACATGGAGTTCCAAGTCCTACTGCGGTCAGGACATGCACTTCCCACATGGTCTCAAGGAATATTTTCTAAAAACACACCCATAATACCACTTAAAATAAATACATTATTGGCTTACATCTCTGGATATTCCAAAGTATACAAGGAGACCAGGAAGGTTCTGGATTGCAGGGAGAAAAGCAATTAATGAGCTATTACTATTTAAAGGCCAAATCCCTGTCAAAACAGCTTGACAAAAAAATATAGGGGTTTTTAACACACACAGTTTGCAGTAGAGCTGCCAACAAAAACAGTGGGTGGTAATTCTGCCAGCTAAAAGGGTGTTGTAATGAGGTTGGGGTGAGAAGAATAACTCTGTCTTCTCCCCCATTCCCTTTCCAGCAGTGACTGACTAGCCTACCACCCCATCGCATTTCTGCAGCGCCCTCTGGTTCTTCACAAGGCCATTCAGGGTGCTTTTCTGGGCAATAACCCCAAGAGCAAGCCATCAGAGCAGATAGAAAATATTAAAAATATGCCACACATAAGTAAAATTGCTCCAGAAATGCAGTAGTCTCATAATAAGAAACTTAGACAGTTTGAGTTGTAGTCAAGCAATATCTATTAAGGAATTCTAACATTACACTAGAATTTAATGCTGGCCAATTGGTCTAAACTTTTAGAGCAGAAAAATGTTGAAGATATCAAGTCAACATTGATCATTACTCCTATGGTGGAGAGGCATTCCTTAAGAGTCCCTTTTCCACTAATGCGAATGGAAAGCTATGGGTATCTAAGTCAATGACTCTGCCTCCTGTTTTCCCAAGTTGTTTATTCTAAGGGTGGTAATGAGGATCTGGGGTGCTATAAAACATTAATCTATCACCATCACTAACAACACTGTGATTAATACTTGGCTTTTGCCTCTTGTATTAATTAGAATTCAGTAGCGAAAGAGGGCAGGAAAACTCAAATTTCAGTGGGTTACACAATTAGAATATTTATCTCTCAAATATATTATGTGTCTGTAAGTAGTCAGGGGCTGATATGGTAGCTCTGCTCCACAAAGATCCCAAACTCCTCCAGCCCACGATTCCACAGTCCCTGTGATACAGCCCCCATCCAGTATGGGGCTCCAGTCAACACACCCACATCCCATGCAGAAAGATGGAGGGTGTGGAGGAAGAAGGGTGTATTCCCTCCCTCCTTGAGGCACTAGATGTGTGTTGAGCAAGCACTTCCACATTTATCCCACTGTCTACAACTGGGTTTTTCAATATGGGGCTACTAGTCATGTAAATTTAAACATAAGTTTAAATATAAATTTAAACTTAAAGTAACTAAATCTAACTATAATTAGTCTTTCCTTAAAGACACTAGTCACATTTCAAGTGCTCAGCAGTCTCATATGCCTAGTAGCTACTATGCTGGACAATTCCATCATCACAGAAAGTTCTATTGGCCAGTCTGGTCTAGAGCTTAAATAATCACATGGACACACCTAATGCAAAAGGAGCTGGGAAGTGTAGTCTTTATGATGGGGGACCCTGTACCCAAATAAGATCAGATAATTCCTTCCTATAGAAGAAGGGAAGAATATATTGGGGTACAGGGAACCACTGTCTCTCAAATACTTTTTTTTTTTAAGATGTTGGGTACAAGTCAGGATTGGGTACATAAGTGGTTTATGTGCAGGTAAAGTTTGGGCCTCCCACTGGATCTCACTTTGCCTGGATTAGGATAAGAAACCTTTATTGATGTTATGTGCCCCTCTCCCCACTTCCTTGGCAGCGTCCAGCTAAATACTCTCTTAAAAGCTTGAAGGATAGCCGGGTATAGTGGCTCATTCCTATAAACCCAGCATTTTGGGAGGCCAAGGTGAGAGGATTGCCTGAGCCCACAAGTTTGAAACCAGCCTGGGCAACTTGGCGAGACCTCATCTCTACAGTAAATCAAAAAATTAGCCAGGCATGGTGGTGCGTGCCTGTAGTTCCAGCTACCTGGAAGGCTGAGGCTGAAGGATCACCTGAGCCCAGCAGGTCAAGGCTGCGGTGGTTGTGAGCATGCCACTGCACTCCAGCCTGGGCAACAGAGTAAGACTCCAACTCAAAAAAATTTTTTTAAAAAAGGCTTTAAGGAGTCACATACACAGATAATTCTCAAAGGCTTTTAAAACTGTCATATATTCCTTACATAAAAACAGCCCTTTTGAAAATGCCAAAGGTTATGGGTCAAATGGGGTCACTCCACCTCAAAATTCATATGTTGAAGTCTAAACCCCTCAGGACTTCAGAATCCAGTCTTATTTAGAAATAAGGTCATTGTAGATGTAATTAGTTAAGATAGGGTCATATGAGGGTAAGGTGAACCCTTAATCCAATGTGACTCATGTTCTCAGTGCAACTCTAAAATGTAGCTGTATCCTCCTTCAGTATCATGGATACTCACTGTACTTTCAAGTAATGCATGTGTTTGGGAGGGCTATTTTGACCACTTACATGTTTCATTAAGTTACATTAAAATAATTAATTGCTATGCTTAAAGGACAAAAGTAAAACTTTTAAAAGATTGTGTGCTTGTTTTGGGATCAAAAACAGTAAAGCTATGAGACTAGGATTCCGAAGAAGACCAAAAATCATGACCGGAAACACCAGAAAACAGAAAGGAAACATCCTTTGGCAAGGAAAGAGGTAAAAGCTTTATACCCAGAGTGAGAAGCAACCTTGAGAGCTCACACCTGGGAGAGACCCTGGAGTAGGAAAAGCTGTCTTTATCTTCTCCCTCCCACTGCAATGGACCTGTATAACCTGATGCCAGGATACCTCCCTTCATTTCCCTTGGTGGAGCAATTTAACCACAGAACCAATCACCCTCCAGTCTTCGTGCAGCTGGAGGAAGAAATGTGGAGAGGGGAGCCATACCCTACTGCCAAGGCTATGATGGGATGGAAAAGCCAGGGGGAATAGGTGTACCAGGTTCTCCAAGTTGGAACTCTGAGCAAGTAATTTTACAGAAAGATCACTGAACATGGGAATAGGGGTCTGCTGATTTAAAATACGGTACGTTGGGTCTATTTAGGGTTTCTAACCTGAAATACCTGAATTATATTCACATTTTTGAAGACTATCATCATTAGATATAGAATTCTACACTGGTAGAATTATCCCAGGACTTCAAAAATATCATATCGTTGTCTTCTGGATTCCATTATTTCTGTTGAGAAAGCAACTAAAAGTCGTATTGTTGACTCTTTGACGATTATATGTCTTTTTTTTTTTTTTCTGGTTATTCTACTATTTTCTCTTTGTCTTTGATTTTCAGCAATTCGACCATGAATGTGCCTAGATATACTGTTCTTTCTGTTTGTCTTACTGACATTTGTAACCCCAAATCTCTACCTGATGTCTTTGTCCATTTGGATAATTTTCAGAGATTGACTCTTCAGACATTGCCTTTATTCCATTATTCTCACCTCTTTTTCTGGGACTTCACTGCCATGTTAAGTTATATTCATCATATCCACATGTCTCTTAGGCTCTTTTCTGTATTTTCCATTTTTTATCTTTGTCTGGATATATTTTTTCTTTTTCATTACTTTTCCTCAGTGCCTAATCTGCTACTTAAATCACTTTTAAATTTTAGATATTATAATTTACACTTTTAAAATGTCTAGTAACTGACACCAAAATCTTCAACCTTGTCGTCAATTGCTTTACCATGTTAATCATAGTTATTTTAAAGCACATGCCTCTCAAGTCCTTTTTCTAGATACCTTGTAAATCTGTTTTTATTACCTGTATTTTGGTATTTG